AAAACGTCATTGTCGTCGTGGGTAATGAAACCTTTAGTGGCTACTGCGGGGATGAAAGAGGGCTGCATAAATGAAGCTGAGGTGCTGAAGGCACTCGTTGCCTTTATTGACAGTACACCCACCGTGCACTGAAGCAGGTGCAAACAACGTAGCTCAAAGATCTTCTTTTTTTCAGGATGATGGAAGCACACATTTTCGTGTTGATTACATAAAAAGCCTAGGGCTAGTCTGTCAGAGAGGAAACGAAATGCTTGGAGACAGCCCGGATGGTCTATGCAGTATTGTAGGACCTGATAACGAGGTGTTTTGCGCCGTGGTAAAGGTCAAAACTATGACTTCTCCACGCACTGTTGAAGAAGCTAAGGGTACGGCTGACAGGTTCGGTGCATTTTTTCGTATTACGGGGATTGGGACCTCAAACCGAAATGACAAGCACTTTCATGAATCTGTCCTTTCCACAGCCTATAGGCTTAAATGTCTACACCACGCCATCGTTTTCGGTGTTGGGCACGTTCTGTTCATTGTCGCCAAGGGAAGTTCAATGGGAAATGGAGAGATAATATTTGCTACACTTCTGCAGTTTTCACAGCTACTTCGTAACAATTACCTACATTGTCTCGAAGGGGTACAGGCTGCTGTATTTTCATGAGTGGGCAATGCTCCAAGTGAGATACCAAAGGACTACGACACATTACTTCGATCCTCATATACATCTGATCTACATAGCTTTGCGTCATTTTACGGACTTAGCATGGCGTACAAGACGTTGGTTCGAAAAAGAGGAGCACCTTTGCCTCCCGCACGTATGATTCGCCCAACTCTACTGGTTTACTGGAATGCTTTAAAAGGAGGGGTGGATGAGTACAGTAGAGCCATTAAATCTTTGAGCAAGACAAACACTTTGGAAAACCGTATTGCCAGCATTATAGGACGAATAATTTGCTCCCAGGTTAACAATGCTGGTATAGTCCATCGCCTTGCGATTGCTAGGGAAAAAGAGCTCCTCCCAAGCTCTTCTGTGAACGAAATGGTTAAAACAAAAGGGTACAACAAGCTGAGACATGACGTTACACAGTGTGAGACTTTCGGGACCTTGCAAGAGGACTGGCAATGGAAATAAACGACTTCTACATGGCATCAAGTGGAAGGCGGACGTCACAAAATGCATGCTCCCAAGTAATGCCAGTTACTGTGGCTATGTCTCTGAAGCCCATGTACAGCTCGGAAGCTTCCAAGAAGTATAACATGGCGTCCGCCAAATCTTTACGCCTGAGCCCTTCATCAAGACACCGTTTTGTGAAAGCCCAGGCCACATACTGCTCATTATGTTCGTTTACGTATGTATTTAAATACAGAGGCAAACGGCACACGAAGAAGGGAGGATCAAGACAGCGAAACTGGTGTGAGCAATGCCTACAGCCTATTTGCACAGGATGCTCGGAATTATGGCACTCCTCGGACACGCTTCTTCGGGCTTCCATGTCCGAAGAGAACAGGCAGATCTTCGAGCAGTCAGTGAGGGAAAAGTATAGGGAGCCAACGCAGCAGCAGACAGACGCCAGAGAGTAAAATTTTGTTGACATGCGGTTGAATAACGTAAAGCTTAACTGTTTTCAATCGCCCGCTTCCAGATGCCTCAATCACTCCTACGAGCTAGTTAATGGTGACGGCAATGCCCGATAGGCGCTTGATTTCATTTTTCCAAGCGTTTTACTTAAGAGCAAGGACGATATCACTATCCTTCCACGCAGTGATGAAAGAGGCTCACGCCCGCGTCGCATCCACGCCCCGGTGTCGCCTACGCTGAGCAGAAACAAGGCCGTCTCACATCCAGCGAGCAGGTCACCCTCGTCGCGCCACGAACATACGCTGATTTCCGCCACTGATCCCTCCCCCTCCGAAACACCCGAGCCGTCGATGGCCCTGTCGACGAAGCTTTCAGTGAGTGGCACACTGGATGTGTCGGCCATGCTGTTAATGGAGACTGGCATGGAATGTAGCTTGGAATGGTCTCCGGAGGAGGTAAAGTCTACAGAGCCGTCAGGAGATCCGTCAGCCTGTCAGAAATCTTTTGAAAGTGTTGAAGCGCAGCTCGGGAGTGCGGGGCCTTCGCGACGCAAAGGAGTGATGAGCAACATCGCAGACGGCGAGGCTGTGCATTCGGTCACCGACGGAGACGAGATCGATGTATCCGCGCACCATCGGTTTATGTTCGAGATGAATGTGAAACGGGCTAGGCATTGGGTGGAAGAGCGATGGAGCCATTTTTTTGTGATAGGGGTGATTGTGAGAGAGAAAAGTGATGTTGAAAGGTGATTTTGAGTGATTTAGTGATGTTTCTGCATTGATTGTGAGTGACGTCACTCAACTTGCGTACATTTTTGTGCTGGTCATTATATTGCAGTGATGATTCACTACACTAATCACTGTATTTAATTTGGATTTCTATATATTATGGATTCGAAAATAAACTGGTCCAGGTTAATTGCAGTTTTGTATCTCGGCGCTCTTCTTATCATATCGCTTGGCGCCGGCGCGGGGCATTTCTCCAAAAATACAAAAAACGATGTGCGGATCTGCCATGAACCACAGTCTCGTCAGCGTATTGCAAAGAGTGCAGGCACGAGATTCTGACATTTCGCATCCCCGTCCACCATTGTTCCAACTATAATCAGCCCAAAATGCCGACCACTGGACCCATTGAACGAGCTCTGGCCGCTGCAATACAGCAGAGGTCTGCAACTCGAGTCCCAAATCTCCAGCGCGCACCGCTCTCTGAACCAGCGCTGCAACCTTCGACAACTCCAGATTTCCCTTCAATTGTGGTCAACAGCCGCAAACCGCATTCTGTTTCTACGATAGCACAGCGCCGCTCTGTACTTAAGTGGATGGTGGACGAGGTGGACAAACATGGAGAGAAGATGCTCACGCCTAAGGCCATTCGCAACTTTTCCCATCTATTTACGGGCTCTTACAAAGCCAATCATGCTAAAAGCCGTCCACTCGTGGAAGAATAGAGAGAAGTTAATGGAACTGTCAGAGTCGGGAAGGCGCCTTGGGAATTTATCAGCCGTTACACGCTACGGTCTCAAAAGGGTAAACTTTAAAGCAATGTCTGGGAGAGGACGCAAAAAAGCCGCGTGGGTCGTAGCTTTATACTCTGCACTCCGGGCAGACTTTGATCGATTGCACGCGCTGAATGTTAAACTAAGCCCTTCTTTCCTGGCTTGTGCGGCAAAATATTTGATACACAATGCAGACAGTGACTCCTTGTTTGCATCTTCAAATTTAATTGACGGTAAAACCGTTGTCGACAAGATAAAGATTCGTTGGATGCAGACATTTATGAATGTGCAAGGACTTGTGATTCGTCGTCAGGCGGGCAGTCTTGACGTTAGCCCCGAAAAGCAACTGTTTATTGAAAAAACAGTTGCCTTCCACCTGGGGACATTGAAGAGAGGTTTCGAGTCCGGCGATCTAAATGAAGGTCTAGTAGAGAATGCCGACGAGACGCACTTTGTATTTAACATGGACAATGGCAGGACAGTTGGCTTTCGTGGCGATGAGAAAGTTAAATATTCGGATGTCGTCTCTGGCGACGAGGGTATTGCCATGAGGGTTCGAATCTCAGGTGAGGTGCAGGCAAGAATCGAGCCACCTATGTTGGTGTTTCAAAATCCAAACTCCTCGTACTCTATTAGAGGTGTTGAAGACAACGTACCTGGCGTCTGCTATCGGTCTGGAAGGAAGGGATAGATGGACAACAGAGTGTTTCAAGCGTGGCTGTCGGAACCGAGGGCGATTAAGAAGGATAATTTCGGCAGAAAGCGAATTTTATATGTGGACAACTGTTCCGGTCATAATGAGACGAACGCAGTTTTAAGGCTCTTGCTCGAAATCAATACGGAGTTACGCAAGTTGCCTGCAAATGCGACTGATGGTGCAGCCTGCCGATTCGTCTGTTATCTCTAAAATTAAGGATGCATGGAGAAAGCGGTGGGACGAATATAAGGTTAGTTTGATGTCAAGGGGCGAGTGGATACGGAGCAAAGAGGGTGCGAGCGGAAAGCTCAAAAACCCCGGGAAGCGGTCTTTCTTGAAGTTGGCATCAGATGCGGTTCGGGACGTCAATGCGCAGAGAGACAAGAATGGATTGTCGTACGCGCGTAAGGCAATGAAACGAACTGGAATGGCGATGAATGTCAACGGCGTCTGGGAAGAGAAACAGCTGTTTTCGAACCTACAGGCCATTATCGCAAAGCACCGCAATCACTTCAATGGTCAGCCAATCGAGTAGAGACAATAAATTACATTGGGCTGTAATCCTATCTCGCCTAATATTGAACTGAAAAATTAATCTGGTCCTGCCTATTTATGAACAACCACCTAAATAATATAGGTTCAAAAATACCCTGGACCAGATTATTTACGGTGAAGCCTTAAAAAAATCAGGTTCGTTAATAATCTGGTCCAAATTAAATACAGTGATCAGGTGTACAGAGAGTGACCAATCACTACATTTTCAATGAACGATCTCTCAAAAACGTCACTAATTGTACCCAAAGTTCACGCAAAATCACTTCTTCAAAGTGACGCAATTTTCATCACCTAAGCAGCACAGGGCTAGAGGGACATTGGTAGGAATCCCCCTGGAGCACAAAAGCGTTCTTGTCAGCAAAGAAGAATAGTTTCTCTGACGCCCAGAAGCTCACCAATCGTTTGAGACCTCGAAGTCTATTGATCTTTAGCTGTTCGTCACAGTGTCCGTGAAACAGAGCAGACACAATGCCAAAGTTCACGTTTGAAATCAGCGCCCAGCTGGAAAACATTGGATCGGTCTCAACACCAGAGGACTACCCGTGGCACATCGTGTTCGGATGCGGCAACTGTGGTGAGCGCACGCAGAAGCCAGTAGTGATTAGTTCAAGTGACAAAGTAGAAGGCATTCGCGGGGCAATGGTCAGCCTGAAGATCAGTTGCAAGCTGTGCGCCCGCGTGAATGACGTGAAAATTTTATCCGATACCTTTTCGTACACGTCGGAAGACGCGCCAGAGTGGAAGCCCTTTCTACAATTGGAGTGCCGGGGCACAGAGCCGCTTGCCGCCGTGCTAGCCACTGACGTTCCACTCCAGATGAAGGGAAAGGAAGGCTTTACTTTTGAGGAAGCCTTCATGGCTGATGGCGAATTTTACTCCTATGATGAAAATTTGAATACTGAAGCATCCGTGACGGAATATAAGGGACGTTTCGTCAAGGGATAGCGTCGCAGAGCATTCCAGGCTAACTACGAAATCAGCTGATATCATCGTAACAACCCCCAATGCCAAGCAGCGACTAACGCAGTCAGGATAGCCCATGATGTAAAACGCACGATAAAAGTTCTATAAATAAAGCAACATACGGGCTGTGCAGAGGCGCGCCGATTGATGATCCTCTCGATCGCTATCAGAAGAAGCAAACTGTGCCCTGCATTAACCCTGATCATCCCTCAGACTAGATATTTCTCAGGATCTCGCAATAATCTCTCTTTTGATCTCCGGATCATCATCCCCGAGAGCATCTCTCAAGACGAGATACCTCTTAATCCTGAAGAGCATCATAGGAGCGACTGTGCTCTCATACGTTTTCGCCCTTGGCAACCTGCCATGTGTGGTACGATACGAATCGCTCCATAACTTCAAGTCCTTGTACAAAGCTCTGAATTCCTTTCTCATTTGAAAGTATTCCCTAGTCTTTCCTTTCTTGCTCTCACTGATGAGCCTGGGCCATTCATCCCCCTCTGGTCTGTTGCGCTTTGCAGCACTCATCCTCTTGCGAGTCTCTTCAGTCTTGGGGACGCCCTTTCTCGCAACACTCATGCGCAAGCGGGTTGAAGCACTGGGAGATACACCCTTGTTGGGAGCCGGTCTCCCGAGGCGGGCCGCCCGTTGCATGGCCCTGTGCTCCGGGTCTTTCCACAATTTGCGGGCTGACTCGCGACTGCGCGAGAGCACGTCGGGTTCCTTCCTCTTCGCGAGCATTGCAGCGCGCCATTCGGGGTCCTGCCATTTTGCGCGGATGCGCTCGCTGCGTGCCCGGCGCTCTTCCTCGGAATACTGTCGAGGGCGGCGCCCCGGCGCCGCGGGCGAGGCAGGCGGCTTGGGAAGATTGGGGAGGTCGCCCGCAGGCTTCGGAGAGGCACTTGACATGCGAAGCAGATGACGCCGTAGACGTGCTAGCTGGATGCGGGTTGGGGCTGGCGGGAGATCTGTGTCCGGAAGTCTAGAATCCGTCGCAATGTAAGCGAGGAGGTTGCGGGGACGACGGGCGACTGGGGGGTTGGGGAGACGGCGGGCAGTTGACATGAATGGTGGCGCGAAGGCCTGCAGAGGCGGCGGGCGGTGCAGGGAAGACATGGTGCTGACGAATGTGGAGAGCAGACCAGACGTGGGGAGCTGAAGTGCATATACCGGGCAGATACACATCCGATGGGGTGCAGCCACATCTCGCACATCTCGCAGGGCATGATAAAATTTGGCCTTATGGAAAGACAGGACGACGAGAGGCGGAGGCTTCCCGAGCTTCCGATGTGATTGGCTACTGGCGGTTCTTGGGATGACGCTTTTGGCAAAATCTCAAAAATATCACAACTTTTTTTACTCAATCTCGCAGGGGACCGCGGTCCAACTAATTTATGCTCGCAGCGGGGCCGGTCCAATCCGGGAGCTTTTTGGGCCTCTCTCCCGGTCTCTCAGGAGCAGGACGTTCGTTCGGCCTTCCCGCGCTTTCTTATTCAAACCCGTCCACGTCCACGCTGGGATGCACTAACTGCCCGCCACCTCACTTCTTGACCTTGTCCTTCCTCCCTTTCACGGACTGACTGCCTTGTTCCATGACCGCCTCCGTCTCCGCTGCGGCGGGGACGCCTCCTTCTATAGCGCCCGCACCATCGCAGCTCTCTGCCGTTCAGGAAAAGCTAACCGCCGTCGAAGCATTGCTGGCCGGATTGCGAGCTGAAAACCATCGCCTGCAAACCGCCCTCGCCGTCGAACGCGCAAGTAGCGACGCCGATGAACTCATTAGTCTACGTCGAGACGTCCATGTTGTGCGCCATCGCCTGTCCCGCGCCCTGCGTGTCTTTGATTCCCTTGGGCTTGACACTCCGAGTACAGATGCGCCCATCGAAGATTTTATCAATGATACATTTCTCGAGCAGCTTCCACAACGCGTCACTGCAAGTCTGAATCAGCGCGAGCTGCTTGTATCAAAACCGACGGAAGCACCGCAGAAACCTACTACGGACCCCTCGTGTAATACGGAACTGCAACCGCCGCCAAACCTCAGTAGAAATGATCAGAGCACTCCCGAAAAAGAGAACCCCGCCGAAGAGCCAAAACAATCCCCCAGTCCTCAAACTGACGCTTCTGGCGTCCCTGAGACGTTGCAGGGTTCCATTCCCGTATTTCCGCAACCGCCAAATGATCCAGCCTCACAAGCAAGGCCGCTCGTTGCCGACACAAGTCCTACTGTGGAGTGTGTGCGAATGCTCATCGGCGCTGATTCTATCGCCGTGTCCGATGATCCCGCGCGTATCAAAATTGACATGAGCAACCCGGAAAAGAAACGTGCCCTATCGTTTTGGCTCTCTTGGAAAGACGACGTTATTTGCTACACGAGAGAATCGGTTGAGGTGGAGGAAGACTCGTGCCCCATGTTCTTGAAGGAGTACTCGATTGAATTCGAGGTCGGGCAAGCTCCTAACTTTCTCGTTCTCGTCATGGGTGCCATGTTTGACTTCAGGGTGAAACCAAAGAGCGAACCCACTCTCGAAGACGAAGCAGCAAACGACGACGATGACGACGACGATATGAGAGACGACTCACAACCCACGCCTTCCTAACATTTCTTGGGGTACCAGCCAGACCTTTCCACCAAGACATAATACATATATTATATGTACATACAACTGAAACACAAATGTCAGGCCTTTGATTTCCGCAAGCTTTTACATGAAAAGACACGAGCACAAACCCTATGCGCCACCAAGATCGTCTAAAAGTCCGTTTTCCATCTCCCGGATAGCTTCGTCCCACTCCTGATCTTTGCCTTCATCGATTTGCGCTCCTTCTCTTGCCTCGTCCTTCAATAACTCGCTTGACGCTCGCATCCTCTTCGAAGACTCAGAACCTATCCGGGTATCACTCTGATCTCGCTTTAATCCAAAGTCCCGCTGTTCTGCTGCTTTTCGGGCCTCGCGTTGACGTTCACTTCGTTTCATGGCCAGGAGCACATGGATCTCTTCATCATCTTCGCTAGTGCTCTTCTCACTATCCCCATCATTGTCAAATAGCTGTACTTTCTCTCCGTTTTCGGCTCTGCGCTGTGCTGCTTTTGCGCCTATCGCCTTGGTCGCGATCTCTGAAACCACAGTTCCAGCCCCTGCCCCCGGCGCAGAAGTTCCGGTTTTCTTAGTGTACAGATATGACACTATCCCCTGAGACTCGATATCAGCATTTAGTGCCTTGTCAAGCACGGCATCTTCTCCGCAAAAGACCTCTCCAGAAAGTCCGCCTTTCTTCTCAAAAATGTGCTGATATTTCTTGAAGCGATCCAGTAACGTGGATGAAGGGCTTCCTCGATCCTTGTCAAGAAGATTTTCTTCTTGGGATCGCTGTAAGACTTCTAAGGTGTCACAAAACTTCAGCTTCGAGTTGTACTGGAAAAGATCACGTAGTTCATCAGCACTAAAATTGCCTTCTTTCGAACCCATCATCTTTGATGCATTTTGCTCGCCTACGCCGGTTCCATTCCCGTCTCTGTGGTGTTCCCTGTCTACTGCGCTTTGAAGCTCTCCTTTGAAGAGTTGCCTCTGAAAAATCTTCTCCTCGATGGTGCCAGTGCATAACAACCGATAAACAAATACATGCTTCTTCTGCCCATCTCGCCAAACCCGCGCCATGGCCTGCAAATCTGTGGCCGGATTCCAATCAGGATCAAACAAGATGAGTCGATTAGCGCCGATAAGATTCAACCCGACACCTCCCGCCTTCGCACTCAACAGGAAGACATCACCGAGCGACCCCGCGTTGAATCTTCGGACAATATCCCCACGATGACCGACTGTGGTACTACCATCCAGACGACAAAATTGTATGTTCTTACGGGACAATGCCTCTTGGAGAAAGTCCAAGGTGGATGTGTAGTTGCTCACAAGAATAACTCTATCCTGGACACGCAAACTAGCCTTGCATATGGACAGGGTTATCTGAATCTTTGAGGAATCACCTATCTGAAACTGTCTCAAAACTTCCTTCTTATCATGCACCACTTCTTCTTCATCCGAAAACCCCAAGTCTTCATCTTCTGAATCGAGGCTAGCACCGACAAGATCAGGGTGACAGCATATCTTCCTTAAAAAATTGATGGCACTAAGGGCCGCGCTGAATCGTCTGGTGTTGGATACAACTGCAAATCGACTCTGGGCTTCTTTCTCGTACGCCGTCTGTTGCCTCTGCTGAAGTCGACAAAAAATGGCGACTTCGTGTTTCGGCGGTAGATATTTCGCCAAAATGTTGGATGTCCTCCGTAACACGAACTGGGATGTTATTCTCCCGAGCTCTCGTGCACGAGAATCCCCAATGGTCATTGCAGAATTAGAGGCATTGCTGTCTCTAGAAGCAATTATGGGGTTTGCAAAAACCGTCCGAAAGGAGGCGAGTGAGTTCAAACAGCCCGGGTTCACGAAATCGCAAACTGCAAAGAATTCCTCGAGATCATTTTGCACTGGCGTTCCCGTTAGAATCACGCGGCCCCGACAGGGAAGTTTTTTCAGGGCTTCTATTGTCTTGTTTCCCTGGGAGGACTTGAGACGGTGACCTTCATCGCATACAAGGAGGCCAATCTTTGATTTATACATCTGCTCAGCATAGCTTCGGAACATCTCATACGAAATTATGAGCAAACGGCGGACATTTCCGTTGATAAAGGCTGCCAAAGCTTCTTTCGATTCAAACGTCGAACTACCAGACGCAACTGCAACGGGTTCCAACCTGTCATCACCCAGCCACTTTTTAACTTCATTCACCCAATTCTGAACCAAGGAAGCTGGACATACAATGACAGCCTTCCTCACGCCAGGATTTCCTCCCGGATGTTGCTTTAACACCGTCCATATCAACCCAATCGCCTGTAAAGATTTACCCAGTCCCATCTCGTCAGCCAAAATCGCTCCTTGACCCCCCTCACCGGTCATGAAGAACAAACCTTGAACGCAGTGGTATAGAAACTTGACACCCTCCCGCTGATGTGGTCGCATACGCTTCGCAAGAAAAGGGTCTAGCACGATAGGGAAAGAATCTCTTCCCGCAAGAGCACCCTTCACGGTAGGAAGCAAAACACAGGCGTTTGGTGCGTTTGGATCATGCATCGGTCCAACGGGACCCTGCGTGATTGACCGATTCGCTGAACAATTGCGAGGCCGGAGCGGTTTGAATGGTGTCCGTTTCGCATTTATCATTCCTCTGGAAGTGGCGCTTAAGCCTGTCACAGAATGTATAGAAGCTTTCATAAAGAGGCGGCCAGAGATATAATCGTCCTCGCTAACGGGATTTTGCACCTCGAGCTCCCAGTTGCCTATTTCTAGAGTGTTTCCTTCCTTCATACCACCTAGAGGTTTACACCTTTCTGCACATACGCGTTTGCCGTCCTCGTTCTGAAGCTCGACATGGCGGTCATTCTTGATGAGAATGTAGCCGTCGAGCCAGGATTTGCGTTTTTTCTTGCTCCTTTTGGTATAAAGTACAGCGTAGTAAAGGATTTCGGAAACCCCGGACGGAGCCAATTTCGCAGGTCGAGAAGACTTTGCAACAGAAAGAGGAGCAGTAAGGCGGCCAGAAGTTAGAAGTGAGCGGCGAGGAGCACCATTGGTAGGGCTCGGGCGGGAGAGACCCGCGCGCACACGAGGCCTAAAAGTTCCGCTCGGCGGGAGCATAGTCAAAAGACGCGAAACGCTCTCTGGTTTGGAAGCTAAGAGTTAATGAAGACACGGAGAGCGATTGAGAAGGCGTTCGAAAAGCGGTGGGCGGCACTCTGTGAAACTCGGGGATAATTTCGTTCCAGGGATGCTTGGTCGCTTTCCTTTGGCGCAAACCTACCTGTTCTGTTCCGCACCGGATACACGTGTGAATATGAAATCTTCAGATGGTACACGTATCCGGTTGTGTACACGTGTATGGGCCGTTTAGTACACTTGGCAGATTATACAGAATTTTCTCTAATAAATGTCTTCCTGGCAATAGCAGAAGCAGTACGAGCTCGAGTCTCTGATCCTGCCAACGAAACGAATGCAATCAGATCTTTTCCCGCCAAAAGTTTTAGATCATGCGAAAGGGGCATCGACCTTTGGAAGTAACATTTCTACCTCATCGAGCGGTGCTCTATTCTAAAAACTAACTCATATAGAGATCCGGCATCAAATTTAATCGGTTTTCAGACCTGCCGTACTTTTCACGGTTTCTTGCACATTTCAGACCCGTTGTTCTACATGTGCTAGTCCAGGATGCTTACGAAGTAACCCCCAATGCTCCTACTCAAACGCTCCTACTCAAACGCTCCTACTCAAACACCCCTACCCAAACACTCCTGCTGAAACGCTCCCATACAAACGCTCCTACTCTGACGGCTGCTTCTTATCTCAATTTCTCGGGAACCGCCCAATCCGTTCGCTGCCACGATAGGAAGGCCACCATGCCAACAACTTCTTTGCCTCCGACCCGCACCATTGGCTTCGTCCTTGACGTTTCCGCGGCATCGCTCAGACCTCCTCCACGGGAGTCTGCCCCGCATGTCACTCGCGAACGACATGCCCGAAAGCTTGTTGCAGCCGTCTCGCGCCTGCTTGATTATCACAAAACTTGTTCCCATTGCCAACTCAGCTGGTCATACCGCTTTTTTGATTCCGAAACTCAAGCTTCGCCTAGTGCTTTCGGAAAGGACGAGGGTAGGGAGACATCTGAGGAGGAGCTCGAAGTATTCCGACGACAAGTTGGCATACATACGAAGACAGCATCCGTCGGGGCAGCATCTATGTATGCCATCAAATACCATGAAATCACCACCAACCTAGAAGACGGACTGACCGACTTCTCCCTTTGTCTTCCTGGTCTTGACGACAACAAAATCGAAACCGATCAAAGCGACAACATGCGCACCACTCTTTCGCACTGCACTGGTGGACACCCCTTTCAACCGCTCCTCTATGTCTTAACAGCTGCTCCAGACTCCATGAAAGCGTTGAGTGCATGTCACGGAGCCTCTGCCTTTCTGCAAACAAAATACTCTCGTAATGTTGCTGATGCCCCAACTCCTCAGGATATGCGTTCCATGATATCCAATATCCGGTCATCAGTTGGCAGTTCGAAGCGAGTAGCACACACAGACCCATTTATTAAGACCGCAGCAGCAATGGAATCGCAAGACATTGGTCTGGTCTGGGTGGACACAAGGCCTGCCCTCCCAGGCGTTTTCTCAAGAGAACGCGCTTCAATTATTACAGCCTTCTGTGCATGGCTAGAAACAGTATCCACGAGTGCTAGCTTTATCGACATGCACACTCTTCTCCTTGACGAAAGAGTAATGCCCGTGGAATCACATATCGCACAAATCCACCCTGACGCGCAGCGCAACACTTGCGAGGTAGACGGCTCCCAAGCGGTGAAAGAGGCTGAATCTGTGGAATGGAACATCGCTGACGTGCTGACAACAACTTCCTCCGCGGGATTCACGACGAAATCTCCGCCGAAAGACCGGGCGCGAGACCCGGGGTCGTCTTCCAACCCATTATTGGTCCGTCAATCTTCGATGTATCCCCACGGCTCCTCCACCTCGTCGCTGGTGCGTTACTTCCGAGCGCAGCTCAGCACGAATTTTTCTCAAGACTCCATTGGTGAACCTCATGAGCAGCCAAAGGCGTCAACAACTCAGTCCCCTCATGTAGTGATTATCTTGAGAGGCATCATGCCTGACAGCAAAAATTGCGAAGAGCTCTATAATCTGAGAGCCTTCGAGTCGAGCGCGCAGGTACTGAGACCCCTCAGATATAACTCGAAGTCAAAAGATATTGATGGTCGAATCTGGGCAGAACACTTCGGTGATGTCATGACTCACCTCTTGCACACTTCAAAAGGCCTGTTTGCTGATGTTGGCATGCGGGGTCCAGGTAGCTCAAAAACCGTACAAACGTTGCATTCAGTTCTCATCCGGCCGCTCAACTCGTTTACAGCGTCCGTTCGGAAAGTCACACTCAATGTCGCAGTGCCACGAACACCTTGTACCGATTTTGCAGCAGAAACCAACGTTTTCGGAGACACCCAAGGCAGTCTCTTGCTACCCGATTTGCCTGGCTGTCTCGAAAGAAAAGATTTGCCAGAAAACAATAACGATCGCGCGACGTGGCTGAGGAAAACTCGTCTTTGTGAAGATGTTCCGCAACGTCTCACGGCAGACACAAACGAGAGGTGTATCCCACCGTCGTCATCCTTTGGCACACCGAACCTGCGAGAAGCGCCTTTCCGCGTGAGAGAAAGGGCTCTTCAACGCGACGATCTTGCTAGAAGCAAACCATTGCGTTCGCAAGAAAGAAACTCTGAGAGTCAACCACAAGAATCAGGGAACAACAATGACGCATTTCGCAGCGTTGGTGATAGTGTAGAGCGAAAACCGAATCCCATCGAGAAATTTGATAACGTTCAACATGGAGTCACACGTACCGGTGCTAGTCCGCGTCAATGTCAGACTCAGTTAACACCATTGTTTGAGATAGAATCTGAAGCTGAAAGAGATCAAGACACAGAATTATCCGATCTTGACGTCGAGACTTTTGCACCGAATCGGCAGAGCGTTCCTGGCACAACGAGACGAAATTCAACGCTGGAACACATCCCAAAATCAGATGCAAATTCTGAGAAGCCCCTTCCATGCAACACGCCGTTGACAATGCCTTTCACTGAGGGACCGACGACAGCCAAAACACCACTAGCTGCGCCAAGTGTAGCATGTACAAGTCGTGGCCCCACCGGGTCGAGCAGCCATTGCCCAGGCAAAACCGATGAAATCAAGGCAGTTCCTCTAAGCACAGTGCCGGAACTGAAAGATTACAATTCGGAGAATGATCTTGACCAAGCAAACCATGCTGTGAGCGAAGCCGCTGCGTCTTTTCAACTGAATATGAAAAGGCTATCAGAGCATGCCGTACACCCAGAACAATGTGTCCTGAGCAGCCTGCATAACTTGGAAGCCATTGCTCGGGTTCTTTCTGCAGGAGGGGGAATCAAAACGATAGAGAAAACGATAATTGATGGGAACATAGTGAAGGACTCTGAAGTGATGGATGCACTTGATGCTACGCAGAGAGCGTGCAGAAAAATAGAAACAGCTGCCGCTTCTGAGGCGTTGGGGCCGGAAATTTGGCTCCCAATCATCAAAGGCTATGGACAAGTCGTTTGGCAAATCGTAGACTATGCTTATACGAGGCAGCACCAAAATAGCACCGGCCACCGGAAGGGTGTTCGCCACTTTGCTGAGAGATCGCTCTCAGTGTTGTCCTGCTTGCAAATGATCGGTGCAGCGATGGCAACTTGGACAGAACCTCATTCGTTGTTTGTCAAAACATTCACCTATTTCCTCGGTGATGTCCTCGCACAATTCACCAAGGGAGCAGATGCCGATCAATTCGAACGAGTGGTTCGAAAGATTTTTACGAAACTAGACCTTGAAGGACCAACCGCGTTGCCAGAACATGTTCATAGGTCAAGCCCTCCTCAGTCAAGTTTATCCACTTGCCGGCAAACTGACCGTACTACCAGGCAGTCGTCATACCAACAGTTGGTCCGTGCTTCGAGTGACAAATGTGAGCAATCAAGCGAGAAAAACGCTGCCCATAACCCCAGGCGGAGCGCACGTCGGGCCTTGACATTTGAAAACGAACACGTAGGAGAAAAGCGTTCTGTGGAGAGCTTCCTTGGCGGGGAGCACTTCAAGAAACAACAGAAAGGACCATCTATCAAGAAACACAAGAAAATAATTGCTGATGCCAGGACCCGCAAGCCACTGATCCCACCGGCCCGACGAACGCAGATTTCAACGAAAACCGTTGAGCTGTTAACAACTAAGCGTGCTCGAAGAGATTCTCCGGGTGCCGCGAGCTCCCGCACTCTGCACAAAGACAATTTGGCAAAGCCAAACAATCGAGGGCACCCTGACTCTAGACCGATCGCAGCGGCTCGGCCGGCACTGCGCCGAAGCCCTCGAAAAAACCAGACTCCCCAACCAGACAAAACAGCGGCGACAACAACCCCTTCTCCACAAGCCTGTGCGCCAAAGAGGCGCACGTCCCCTCGTCATACCCAAACTCCCAAGAGCAGTTCTACCTCTTCTAAAACTGGCATCACTGCCGTCGCACAAACAACTCCTACTCGAACAAAGCGAAGCAAAAAGGAAGCCGTGCCAGACTGGAGCCTGCTCCATGTCGGCCGTTTAACACGCCGGGGTGCCAAGAGACTAGCAGATGTACACGAACAGGGGGGTATCCCTCAGTCACCTTTTTAATAAGAAACTCTATGTTTATGTTGATATTCCCAAGATGAGTGCCGCCACTGGTCACATTATAGGCTAGCGTCGACCACAACTACGCCCTTCGTACTACTGCAGTTCTTTGAGAAGTTGATCCAATATCAAATCAGCCATACCGTAATACCCCCCACCAAACAGGTTGTAGTGATTCAGAAAATGATATAGCTGGTACAGCTTTTGTCGTTGCTCAAATCGCGGTGCCCGAGGTATCAGATCATGGTAACCTTCCCAAAACCCCGAAGCGAAGCCGCCGCACCATGACATTCCAAAGTCAGCCTCATGGTGTCCGTAGTAGCAGGCAGGATCAAAAATAACGGGCGCCGCGTATTCGCCGGATATGTTCCCGGACCATAAATCTCCGTGGAGTAGACTAGGCTTAATGTCGTCCTTGATATCATCAAAAAGGTCGTTTAACCTAAGGCATAAGCGGTTCCCCCGATCGATTAATCCAGAATCGCCCGTGAGCAGCAGTTGATGTTTCAAACGTCGCTCTCGGAAAAAGGATACCCAGTCTTCCATCCACCCATTGGGTTGTGGTGTTGCCCCAATGGTGTTGTCGATTGAAAACCCAAATCTGCCTTGGTGTGCTTCTGGTAGTACGGGGTCGGCCAAGTGCAGCCGGGCTAGCTGTCTTCCCAATTCGCCTTGGTCATAGATGGGGCTGAGGTCCAGCGCCTCCATAATTATGTAAGACCCTTGTACGCTTGAAAGCTGACCGTACTGAAACACCTCAGGGACGCGGATTGTCTGGGTGTCAAACATAGCTGAAAGTCCCTGTGCCTCTCCTTGAAACATAGAGGCATCTTCTCTACTGACTTTAATGAAGAGGCGCTTCCCCGTGTCAGTGGTAGCTCGGTGCATGACGGCCCATCCAGAAGTGCCTGCGCGGGTCATTGCAGTTACTTTTCCGACATCGAGTCTTTCATGAATTACTTTTTCTAACTCATCTGTAGTAGCATTAGCCATTGGTCGGCACCGTTTCACACAGGACCAGGATTTGTCGACGCGCTGCGAATTCTTTCCTCCGGAAATTAAGGAGCCTATCCGTACGAAAGAGGGAGCAACAAATGTGATGGAGGTGGTCCAAGATCTGTTCGGTGAATTCTGGGGCATGACCATGTCGAGACCTACGTTGTCGATGACTGTGGGAAGAGTAAATTGCGCTGCGCATTCCCTGTGAGTTTCGTAGTAGAGTACGTCAGCTCCGGCAGTGGAGGCACTCAGTGCAAATCACAGATGATTTGGAAGACGCATACGAAAAGAGACGAAGTCTGTGGGATAGGGTGAGAATCGCAGCATGGTGGCGGCTCTAGAGGCACGGTTGCGGCACACTGTGATTCAGTAACGTAAAGTACCCTTGGGTATGGACAGATCTCGCTCATGCTCAAAAACGAACTTTTAAGGAGCACCATGTCCAGCTCTTCATATTGAGATACAGGGGGGGTCTCCTTAATAGTTCGCTTTACAATAGTGCACATGGCCAAAATTGCACCCCTTTCAGCGATGTCACCATTATTACCACGTGTACACCTGTGCACGTAGAGCCATGCCGATGTAGATGCACAGTGTGCATCTACATCGGCATGTGCATTGTGTGGTTCCATCCAGAGCCAAGTCAGTAGTGCACCCACGATAAGGCACAGCCAGTAAGGCACACCACTCACTTTAACAATAAAGTCACCGCCGTCCCCCCAGCCCTCTCGGGATCGGGGGTATCGGTGTTCCTGGAACCACAGGTTATGGGCCATACGCAACCGCTGAACACGATCCGTCAACTCCCAACAAACAACAACCAAGGAAGACGTTAACAGACGCGCCACACGCGCAAGAAGACAAGCCGCACTGCAAGATCACACTAACAACACCAGCGTTCGCCCCCGACTTGTCAAAAAAACACAGTATGAGTGACAAAGCCACCACACATGGCTACCTGCCACAACTAACCCTCACAAATTTTACTTACTGGTACGATGCGCTTGACATACACGCGCAAACGATCAACGCAAAAGCCGCCCTCAGCGCAACGACTACATCACTCACCGACCCAGCTCAACAAACCCAACAATCAGACGACACCATCAACGACCTCACCGAACGCCTCCAATTTTTGAAAGATGTCATCGCCGAGCAACAGGACCCCAAAGACGGTAAGAAAAACTTTATATTAGACTCCGGTGCCCACCCCACGCATCTAGCTACACTCCACGCAAAAATGCAACGCAGAACCAGGACACTAACACAAACAGCAACGGGACATCGCGCCCAAATAACATACACCGGCGCCATCACACTGCAGACGAATAGTGACACCATCACAATGCCCGAAGTGCACATGCCGCTGATCACAGAAAACTTCATGTCAGTTCACGATCTCACCAAGTACGGAGATGTAACATTCAGCAAGACCAAGGCAGTGCTGCACAAGCCAACCCCACTACCGGCCAAGCTCACAGCAAAGTACCGACAAGGACAATACCGCCTCGCACACGCCAAGCCAGCAACAGCCAAGGGGGCCCGAGCGCAGTCAGGCAAGCGTAACGGAGCGAACAAGGGAACCCGCATCCATGCCAGCACGCCGAAAACGATATCAAAAAATAAAACACCCACATCAACGAAACGTGCACCTCCACCAAAGAGACCCCAAAACGCCACCCGGGACACGCTCTAGTACTGTACAAACGCACGAAGAAGAACCCCCACCCTACGCAACGCCACAGCCCCCAAAGGAGCACGCCGTAAAACCAGCACAGCCAAACAGATACTCCACGAATGGCACTTGAAACTCGGACACGCGCACCCCAAGACAATTTCTATAATGTCTAAACAAGGGCTTTTGCCCATCCTCCCAAAAGGCATCACCGATAGAAGCGCACAAATCACTTGTAGTGGCTGCATAGATGGCAAGACCACTACAAGACCACACCGCCCAACCAAGCACACAACCGCCATAGGCGACAGATCGATGACACACACATATGCATACAGAACATCGGCACGCGACGCTACGCAAAAAATCAGGGCAACGGACTTCAGGCCGTACCACCAGTGTAGTATAATGACCGGCGCGAGCGCGCGGAGGTCATCGGACGGCCGTATACGGTATACACGTGGGCGGCTGTGCCCACGTGTAGCGAGCGCGCGCGCATGCCGAGCGGTCGTAATCTGGCGTACGTGTACGTTAGCACACGTGTCGTCCGTGCGGTAGTCTGTAAGCAACACGCGTGTACAGTGGTGCACACGTGTAGTAGTAGCGGCCGTGCGGTAGTAGCAATTATGGCGCTAGTTTTTTAATTGTGTACAGTACCCGGCACGCACTAGGCGGCAGGTACTGTACTACTGTACTGGGACAGGTGTCCGAGGCGTCCCCCTGCGGGGTTAAGACCTGGCACCCGTCCCCACCAGTAAACGGGGGCAAGCTCGCCCCCGTCCCTTTTGCGCCTACGTACGTCCGTTTCGGTTGTCCGCCGCGCGCGCTGGCTTCTAACCCGTTACCGGTCGCTCCCGTTTACGCACCACGGGGCGACTGCGCGTAACCGGCCAGTGAGCCACTCCCTTTTCGCGAGCTCGTCCGATCGGTTCAATTGGCGCGTCGCGTCCGCGCCGCGTGCTCCCTCGCTAAAGCCTCCGCCTCTCACCCAACCCAGGGCGGAGAGGAGTTATCCCACATTTGGTACTCTTGTGGAGGGGATAACTCTCGAGGTTGAGCCGCACGCGTGGTCGCTCGATCGCGCGCAGAACCGTACGGACGGAAAAGGTTGAGAAATCACCGCGTCGATCGCGAAGCGTATTCGACGATGAACCGACCGGAAGAAGGGGGAGACTCCGCCTCCGGGCGTCTGAGCACCCGCAGTGGCAGTGGCGCACCGCGCCCCCGGGTGGAGAACCCGGAAGCCCTGCTGCGACCGCCACCGCGACCGGGCCGCACGCGAGCGTCCGCATCGGATGTTACGCCGGCCGTGTCGGCAGGCACCGAGAATCGCGTCCAATGGATGGTCGACGCGATTCAGCCGCGCATCCAGGCCTGGGTCGAGGAGTTCCTCGCTACGGAACTCCCCCAGGTAGCGCGCGTATGCCTCGACCGAACGGTGCCCGCGCTCGTGGACGCGCACGTACGCAGCGCGATACCACCGCTTTTGGACGAACTTCTACCCGCTCAAGTCCAATGCGAGGTGGTGACCGCGCTCACCACTGTGGATGAAGAATCCCCGTCCGGTACGGCTCTAAAGGGAGCCATCAGCTCCGCCGTGGCCAATCGTCTAGCCACGACCTTCGCCGGAGCAGGAGTCGACGCACGCGAGCAGCGCGACTCGACCGCTCCGGATCCTACGCTAACGCACGCTGAACCGATCGGCGCCGCACCCGGGATCGGTACAATGGCCCCTCACCCGGAGGGTAAGACCATTTACCTCCCACCAATTTATGGTGCTACAGGAGGGCCCACAGAAAATGGCCCTCCCGTACTCGCCGATACGGCTGGCCCCCGCGGGACAGAAAACCGCCTGGGGCGCTTCGCGACAGAAAAGCGACAGCCGTATCGGTCGAGCAGAAGAAGCGCACCCGGCGCTCAAGGCTACACCTCGGAGGGTACAGAAAACCCCTCCGAGGAAGAAGACACAAGACGTCGCCACAGGGCGACGCGCAAGCACCGCGACGGACGCTACGCGCGATACCGCGATGCCGGAGGGGTCGGGTACCCCTCCGATGATAACCGCGACGGACGCTACACGCGATACCGCGATGCCGGAGGGGTCGGTTACCCCTCCGATGATAACCGCGAAGGACGCTATACGCGATACCGCGATGCCGGAGGAGGTGGATACCCCTCCGATGACGAGGACACCGAGTCGGACGGATCGCGCAGAGGCGACCGCAGAGGTCGCAATGCGCGCGACCGACGTCGGTTCCGGCGAGAAGACTCCGATCCGGAGGGCTACAGTAGCCCCGGCGGAGAAGGAGACCGCCACCGCAGGGGCAGAGACCGCCGGTCTGCCCCGAGGCGGGATCCGAAACGGCTGCCGGTGATCAGGCCGCTGAACGACCTGTTCACCAAGGCCGTCGACTACCGCACGTATAGGCTGGAAAATCGCAGCGCGCGCTACGACGCGAGTACCGCGCGGCGAGTTAACCGATATCGGAAGAAGTTGGACGTCCAGCTGAAAACCCACACATTCGGTGGTCAAGATCCAATCGCGGTGCTAGGATTTCTCGCGCGCTTCAAGATGGCCTGCGACCACAATGGGGTCAGCGAAGGCGCGGCCGTATGGTGTTTCCAGTTTTATTTGACTGGGCAGGCTCACGCCTTGCTCCAGTCCAGGCTACACGGGAACACCATGGCGGTCGATGCGGAGCAGCGCGATATGCTCGAAACCTACGCGGAAGTTGTTAACTTTTTATTGCGCACGTACGCGACTGACGAAGTTATTTCCGAAGCGGTCGGTGATGTCACCTCCTTCCGTCAGAGCTCTAATATGACGGAGGAGGTGTACAGTAACCAGTTGTGGGACAAGGCGTTGCGCTGCGGAACCGTATTTTCGGACAGGCGCCTGAAGTCCCTTTTTGTTGAGGGACTTCTGCCAGCGACGTGCGCGCAGGTGCGGAATTATCTCGCGACGCATCCGGGCGTGGACTACCAAGCGGTGGCACGCTACGCGCAAGCGATAGGCGAGACGCACCGCTCGGCTCGAAGACAGGCGACCTCGCTCGCGTCGCCTCAAGCACCGTCCGATTCGGTGAGAAGATTCACGCGCAACGCGCGGACAAGGCCCGTGCTGTCGGTCGAGTCCCTGTCTGAACTCCCGACAGCGCGCGGAACCGAAACGGAGGAGATACTGGCGGTGACGGACCAGTCGGCGACGCCGAGCTCGCTTAGCTCGCCGCCGACTAGCTACCATCCGTCACCTGCCTCGTCCCCGGCGGGCGCGCCGATGGCGCCCGCCCAACACGGTGAC